CCCCCAGCCTGACCAGCAGCTCCAGCGCCCATTCGTCTTGCTGCCTGTAAACAGATTTTTAACAAAGAAAAAATATATGTAATATTCAGATCTGGAGTGCAACCTATGGCTTGACTGCAGCAGCATACTTTGGGTGGGAGCAGGGAGTCCCTGGGAGTTACTGTTGAGCCCCCACTAGCTCATGATTTCATCTCTGGCCGTGGCCTCCACTGTGAACAGGACCTCCTGGTCCCTCCCAGCCATGCCCAGCACACAGATGGCTGTTGAGATCAAGGCGCTTTGAAGCCTTGAATATTCAGTCAATATTCATTTATTTTTCTCCTCTACTTGTTTAAAAGGCTGGGGTTTGGCTTTCCCAAAGGGCAGCTGACAGCTCTCTCTGCACTAACTGTCCCACCTCCAACCAAGTCAGACGGACAAAAGTCTCCTAACGTTGTGGAGCTGTTTTGAAAACTCTACCCAGCCCTTTGGAGATGGGTCATTTCAAGGCTTTTTCATTACAGTACAGACTGAGTTGTCAGGAGCGTTCGATACTATGGATTATGGCGGAGCTCCTGAATGATGGGAATGCTTGATGGCTGTCATTTACTGTCGGTTTTTATTTACTCGGCTGGCCTTCATGCCTGGCCTGGGCACTTTATTAACCCAGACAGCACAAATGGATGTGTGTGCTCTTATTTAGTGCTGGCTGAAAGCTGGCTTTTCCATCTGCTGGAACATTGGTCTTTAAAAAACTAAGTTTGATCTTAAATGAGTTTTGAAACTAAAAATTTGTTTAATTGCCCATGAGCTGGAGGTGTGTGTGTCCCCACTATTGCTAAAAGCAGGGAGCACAGGGCTGGCTGGTTTGGTGGGCTGCTTTGGGGGCAGGTCCTGAGCTTTCCATGCTCCTCATCTAACGTGGATTCCTTGGGTTTGGAGGCAACTCGAACCTGAGATTTTTTTCTAAGCAGCCAACTTCTGAGTCACTGAAGCAATCCTTTTAAGTTCAGCTTTACAAACCGTCTACCCAGCTCTGCTCTTACTCCTTACCTCATCACAACTTTGCTTTTCTAATGGTGAGACCCTGGTTATGAGCACACGGTTGAAGGCCTGGAGCTCTGCCTGCTGGAACTGCTCTGAAGATTTTTCTGCCAGCTTCAACTGCTAAGATTTGGATTTTTTGATTTTTTGTCATCATGAATCAGGAAAAAAGAATCCAGAAAGAACTGTGACATTTTTTAAAATAAAAGAGCATGTTCCAAGGTTGGCTTTTTTGGCCGCGTATTTTATTTTTTAGGATAATATATAAAGTAATAAAGAAAACATAAATAAAAGCCTGTCACTTTGTAAAAACACATTTTTTCCTCCCCCAACACAGATACTTCCCTCTAGTTAAAACGTTTTCCTGTGCAGGGGTAGGGAAGGGAACCTCCCTTCCCTCCCTACCTGTTGGGGTTTGTGCTCTCGCCCTCATAGCAGGTGTCCATAGGGAGATGCCATCCCAAGGATGTGATGTGCCAGTCGGTGAGGACCAGATGACAATCTATCTCATCTACAATAATGAGCTGCAACTATAGACCATGGTAGGCACAGCTTAGCTGGCAATATGGGCAGCTACTGCTGCACCCCAGCTCAGCTTTCTTCAACATGTCAGTGAGTCTCCAGCTATTAAACTCATCTTCATTTCCACTAATTTATTTCTAATCATCACCTGAGTTGTTAATTTAATTCTCTTGCAGAGCTGCTTAGGATAGCGTAGCAAGAAAAAGCGATTCAGTAGCAAAGGCTTGATGGATGGATGGATGGATGGATGGATGGATGCAGAGAGCTGTTGGTTAAACATGTGGAGGGGAAAGTCCTGTCCCTTTGCTGCCTGCCGCCCTCCCCTGCCACGATCTTACCTCGGTGCTCAGTCTGCTCACAGGCAGGACCTCCATAACCTGGTTGACATTGGCAGAAACACGTGTCTCCCACCAAAACGGGTTCACCATTGTTCTGGCACGGTCCACAGCGGCAGGCGTTGAACTCCAACAAGTAATCGTCCAAAGCCCGTTTCAGATTTTGCCGTTTCGTTTCCATGTTGCCAAGGTTGCTACTACGGAGAATTTCGTGGATGGGCTGCAGCTGTGTAAGATGGAGATGAATAGCATGGAGACAATTTCAGCTGGGCATCAAGTGAGATGCTGGGATGTCGCAGTCGGAGAGCTGTGACAGTGCTGGATAAACTCAGGGCTCAGAAAAAACTCATTTGTCTTCCTTGACAGCTCCATGTACATCATGCAAATGCATTACCACAACTGATGGGCTCCAATGAGAAACCACTGGTCCAAAACCCTCCCCATCTCAGAGGTTTGTGTGGGATTGGCTTTTCTAAATGTGTGTTGGACTTTCAGTCTGCATTCAAATAATAAGTTAAAACACCCCAGTAAGCCCATTTTTTGACTGATTTCTTGGTGCTGTCACAATCTCAGAGATTCTGGCTTGCTTTTTGCCTTTTTGAACCAAAATATTTTGGTAAGAGCTTTGAACAGTGGGTGTCATCAAAACTGAATGCCAACCTACCACTAATGGTGACCAGATTGTGTACCATCTGGTAAACACTGAGCATGGAAAATTTTACCTACCTACATTTTTGCCCTTTGATGCAGCAAAATAATATTGAGCCATCTACTTTAAGAATATAACATCTAGGTTTAAGAATATAACATACTTGTAATATTTCCAGTAGATAAATCCAGTTCCTATTTAGCAAAAATAGCTCAGCGTGGGCAACTGTAACTCGCCTTCTCCATTGAACCTGTTTTATAAAAGTCATTGGATGAGCCAAAGGGCTGTGGGCTCATGTGCTGGTGGCACCATTCAACCTCCTGGAACACTCTTGAGTGGCTCATCAGGATTTTTAGGTATTAAACTGTGTTTAGAAAATGTTTCCCTGAAAAAAAATCTCAGCCCTTCTCTTTTCGCCAGTAACAAAAATTCAACTGAACATTAAAGCTAAAAGCCCAAGGCTGGTCTGAGGACACGTATTTATATTTGTCCATCCATGCATCTGTGCAAAAACTGCACATCCTGGTTTGGAATTGGTGGAAACCAGTCCCAGGGAAGAGCTGGACATCATCTCATTGCACAAGATGCAGTGAGAGTGGTTCGTAGGAAGCATCAGCTGGGCTTTGGGAAGAGCTCTTAGACAAATTTGCACAAGCCTGTTTCACAAACAAGAGGGAGCTGCAGATAAGAGCTGCTGAAGTGGACATGAGCACTTATCAGCAGGTCTGGTTGCACAGCAACTACTGAGTTCCAGAGCAGCCAACAGAGAGGTCAGCACATGGTTTACTGGAGAATTGCAAGAAGTTTTGCCCAGAATTGATGGGAACTTGTGCAGAAAGGTGAATAACCTGCAGCACATGTTCAGCTGGAGCTGAAAGCACTTCTGCTTTATCAGGATTTTCTGTTGCCAGGGTGCTGCCCAGGAAGGTTTCCAGATTCCCTCTTGCCCTGCTAATAATGCAGATGGTGCCTGATTCCACCTTCCTTTCTCCCACCCTCTCTCAGAGGCAGGATCAGGGCTGCTTTCAAATGAAGATGAGAGGGATGGAAGTGGCAGCATGTCCCTGCGGTCCTTCCCCCACACCCCACAACTGTGCTTCCAGCCCAGACCAGTGACCATAGCATCACAAGTTAGATGTGATATTCCTGACCACCTCCTCATGCCTCTGTGATCTCTGGTCCTGGATTCTCTCTTCCTTTCCACTCATCCTCTCTGCTCCTCCCCATCTCTGAAGCCCTGTAGGATACTCCAGTGATCTTTCCATTGTATGAGGCGTCCGATAAAATTAAGGGAGAAGGAGAACTTGGATGATTTTTGTGTCCACGGACCCTCCTTGTGGAGCATGGAGAAAGACAGAACCCACCTGACAAAGCAGCCAGGAGCCCCCTGCTCTAAAAACTCCTGGAAGCACCTATAGCCATACCCACCATGGTCTGCAGAGGTTAAGCGTAGCCACTGCTGCTCTGAGGAAGGTGAAAAGCAGAGGTGTCTATGCAGAGCCTTTGCTGTGGGGCAAAACTCCTTCCCCAGCCCCCCCCATGGGTCCCCTGCTTATACAGGAGGGTAGAGAGCATCGGGGGTAATAATAAAGATGAATGCAACCGCAGAGCGCCATTCATCGGGAAGCTGTTTGGGGACACATCAGAAACTTAACTCGGCAACCGCAGAGCGCCATTCATCGGGAAGCTGGGGACACATCAGAAACTTAACTCAGCACTAATCCAGCATTAAGCTCCTTGTCCATCTCCCTGCGGATGCAGTCGGTGGGAGATGTACTCCCCATTGTGAAATGAATAAGAGGTTACCAGATCAGTGGCCCATTACATTTAATCTTGTTCTGTGATGGGCTCACAATAAAAATACGAAATGATCTGCTCGACTACACTTTCATTCCTTATAGCGGCAGAGTTTCTTCAACTGCAGAAAAGCCTTACCTCAAAATCAATAACAGCAGGATTATATTTTAATGACCTTCCCCAGTGACGATACATGGTGCCATCCCAACTATTTAAGAGCCCTCCGCTGTAACTGGTATCTCCACCTCTAATCCGGGGAATAATATCTTCCACAACTGCACTGTTGCTCTCAGAATCTGAAAAGTTGAATTACACCCATATTATTTAGTTACCATTTCCACACATAGGCTAGAAAATGCTTAATGGAGGTGAGATTAATCGTGCAAGGGGTTATCAGTGAGTGGCACTGATGCTGCCTCCTGAAATTGGTGGGAGCTCAGCATCCAGCACTCATGGTGCGAGCCCTGCCATGTCATCACCAGACGGTCGGTGAGGAGTTGAGCATCACAAATGCTCTAAGCTGGTAAGACCTGAGGAGCCTGCATGCCTCCAGCCTTTGTTTCTAGTTAGCACGTGGGCAGTACATCATGTTATCTATAGCTGATTAAGTGATTTATAAATCCAGGACTTCCTAGACAATTTGAGTACTTTTTATAGTCAGTTTTGACTTCTTTAACAGTTGCCATGTTGCCATTGTCATCCACACCCATTCTGTCATGGCTGTTTTCCAGGACTACAGTTTTCCAGCCACCCCACTACCTCTATTTACACGCTTTTCTAATCCAGGTATTGCTACCTTAATTCCTGCTCTTTCAAGAGCAATCAGTACTCCTGGACACTTGGGCCCAAAGTCGCCTTGGTCCCACGCTTGGGCCTGAGCCATGGCTGGAAATAACACCAGAGATCCCTTCTTCATACCCTTGTGTGACCTTACTTGAATTTCCATCCCCAAGTGACCAAAAGAGGTGACATAAGGTGCCTTAATAGACATCTGCCCTGCTATCATACCAGTTTTCAGAAATCCTTTCTTTGCACAGTCAGAGGATGACACAGACGCTTCCAACTGCAGTTTAGTCTCACTGGCCGTAAGGCCGATTGACCAGCCAATACAGGCACTTATTTCTTCAGCACTGATGTCTGCAAAACAGAAGGGAAACAAGTACAATCAGTGAGTCATTCTGAGTGGAAGGGTGTTCATTTTTCTGCTTGGTTTTGGGGGTCTTTTTGTTTTGTTGTGGTTTTTTTTTTTTTAATCGATTAAGAAAATATTCAGTTATTTGCATGGCCTGTTTTTCAAAGTCAAGAGCTATTCTGGGCAGAGGACAGCTTTTAGTCTTGGAGTGGAAAAGCCAGTATTTTATTGGGGTATATTGGGTTTATCATATAATAGGTGAAAAGGGGAATGTCCTTGCTATAAAATTGTTTCCTTAGAGAGTATTAGAAAAAAGTAAAAACCTTAACACAAGGATTCAGGCTTGTATTTTCTTGTTTGGTCTATTTATTTAAAAATAAACCACTGGATTTTTTTTACAGGCTAACCTATAACTAGGATAAAGCTGGGAACAGCAGCTGAAATCAATAGATTCTTGCTAATTTTCCTAAACTAAGGATCTGACCCAGGTGTTAGTGGCTTAAGTAGCATCTTAAGCAGCAACTTGTAAAAGGTCTGTCTGCTGTGAGCTGCTAAAGCCTTAGTGTCTGCTGCTGGGCTGCTGCCACCAGCACCACCACATCCATCATGAAAATATGTAACTGGAGACCCATGAAGTGACTGCAGAGGGGAGAAGGGAACTAATGAGGTTGTTTCACCAATGTAAGCAATGTGCATATTTCATACAACTTGGTTTTATGTACACACTTCAGTGTACTGCAAATCTAAGGCTATCTTCTGTAGTAGTTAAAAAATCCATTGGTTTCAATAAATGTGGGTATTGTAAGTAATAGGTAACTCTTAGATCGCTCTTTTTGTCAGAGGAACTTAAAGTGTTTTACAAAGCAGCCTGGTGATCAATATGATGGTATTGAAAGGGAGGCGCAGAGGTCAGTGAGATTTGTGCATCATGGCTTAATGGTCTAAAGATCAAAGCTCTGGCTGAGCCCAAGCCTGGAGTGTTGTCTGCTGAATTGCCTCATCCCACTACTGAGAAGCAGTGTCTTGTCTTGCTTGTGATTAAAATACTGGTAAAAAGATCATAGTTCTGGTTGGGTTTTGGTTTTGGTTTTTTTTTTCCTTTTTCTCCTCCTGCAAACCTTGCAAGAGAGGCTTGCTGGAGCTGTTCAGGGTATGGATCTGCTTGTTGGCTTGGTGGGTCCCAACTGGTGAAGGTGCTTATCATTCCAAGAAAGGAGCTACATGTCCTGGATTCAAACTGGTGAGAGCTGAAGCATGCTCAAGATCTCTTGGGGAAATTACATCCCATTGCAAAACTGGGCCCTTGAGAAAGATTAAATGTGTGGCACTCAATTACTTCTACTAAACTGTTCAACAGTTGTAAACACAGTGGGTAAAGTTCATTCACCCAAAGCAACGTGAATGATTGCTTATCTTGGTGTTGGAGTGCCATAAAATTAAACTTGAGGAACGCCCTGATTAATTGATTCACCATGGTTCCCACTGAGTAATTATATTCAGCAAGGGTCTGTCAATACAATTCGCTATTGGTTGCAGCAAGATCGGGTCTTGATAAATGAAAAGTGGTTATCATTGCAAAAGGGTGGTCATAGAAAATATTGGCACTTGAGGGGGGAGCCCTGATAGGTTTTTTTTATATGATATAATTTGTGATAGTTAAATGTGCTCGAGTGATAAGATTTACTGCTGCATTTTGAATTAATCAGAATATATGAAGACTCCTTCTAATTTACTCTGCGCATAATGTTTCTCCCATAAATGTTCTTGTAATGTGTGAACACATTATACTGTTTTCTGCTAAATAATAGAACCATAACAATCTATTTTAAAAACAAGTAATGAAAAATATTGATAGCAGAGCAACAAGGGACCTCATTCTGACAGATGTATTTATTTCACTCATGACTGCAGCCATGCAAGCCCTTGCAGCCTGAAAGCTAGAAATGGGTCTGGCAGCAAAATTGCAGTGCTGAGCTCTGCACTGGTGAGTTGTGGTCTATTGCTGGGTATCTAAACCCAGAAGGGAACTTCTTTTTCTAAAATTCAATTTTCCTAGTTGCTTAAAGTCCAGCTCATGCCTATGCCTAGCTGGATTCTTAGCAACTGCCCGAGCTGTCTCTCATTTAAGGAGAACTCAGCCTAAGGATCTTTTTCTTGGCCATGGGCCTTAGTCACTGGCCTATAAAAAAGGAGTGTTTTCTCTTCCAGAGCTTTTAACATGTGACCTCACGGGCTAGGTGGACTTTCAGGATGCAGTAGTTGATCTAAAGCACATGCTGTGCTGCCAAGCCCTGTGGGGACTCAGGGGTGCATCTCCAGACATCTGCAGAGCTTCAAACTCATCTTTTGAAGCTCTTATTTTAAGACTTGAGCGCTTATATCCTGATCCTGACTATTCCTCAGGGGAGGAAGATAATCCTCTTGCAAACACAGCCTTCAAGCATGGCCGTGATCACTATTAGAAAAATCAGGTTTTCTGCTAAATGCTTTTACTAAATGCAGATGGGCCCTTCTGGGTCTATGTGATGTGACGTAGAGCACTGCTGACTTGGTAAATGTGAGGTTTCTGGCAGAGTCTAGGTTAGATGAAAATTACAGAGGCATGCTACACTAGAATGAAAATTACATCTCTACTGGGGCACATTTTTGTCTTTTGCTGAACTTCAACATCCTTCTTTCCTAAGATAAGGCATCTTGTAGCAGTAAATCTCCTCCTTATATACACAGTAAGCACAAGATAAAGCAAAATAATAGCATCCCTCCACATGCTCTTGATTCATTCTTCCTCTGAAATTGGCAGTCTGCTTCCTGAAGACTGGCTTGCCAAGATCTTGTTCACTTCTTTATCACTTGCTCTTCAAAGTGAATAAATGATTTGAAGAGGCATCATGTTTCCAAACATTAGTAGTTCGGGAACTTGATGAAAATTCTCTCAATTGATAATTTGTTGTTGAAAAAATTGGCCTGGTTAACACTCAATATGGAGTGCATAGTTATCCTAGTGCTGATGGTACCAAACCATTTCAGACCAGAGGCAGAATTTGGGGCAGAACCATGGAAGCTAATGGAATTACAGCAATTTGTACCTGTTGTCCAAGATCACAATTTTCTTTTGCATAAATATCCAGCTTGGAGTTACCAAGGCAGCACTACCCTCAGCAGAGTGATGGCCTTTAGGGGAAGTGGGATCTATTGCATTGGCAAGACCTTTGCAAAAGTTGACAGTCCGGTTAGTGTACTGAAATACCATATTATTGTTCTGCAGCTTATGTTTTTGATTAGGAAAAATGTTATACTTTGGCTCTCCAGTAATGGCTATTCTTGCACTCTAGACATCTTCAGTGGCTATTTTATGTAACTGAGATTTAGAGGTATGGCTCTCCAGCCTCATACACTCTAATCTGTTGAGAACTGGAGCTAACAGAGGTCGGTTAGTCTTCAAATATGACACTAACCAGAGTAAAGTGGCAGAGGTATTGCCAAGGGTGATGCATTATTTCCATTTACAGAAAATTGAAACCCTCACTATTGGAAGGCTAAAACAGGAGTGGGTTATCTTTCTTTGCTCTGGATGAGTTTACAGTCCTTGAGCTTTCATGAGAATGGCTAGAACAAAGACTATAAGAAATAGAAGTTCAGAGAAGTCTGGCAAGTGATACTGAAAGAAAGGGAGAAAAAGATGTTCAGACTCCTTCCTAAACTACCCAAATCTCTCCCAGATTCTTCTGAACTCAGGTGAAGAAGCACATCTTGTGACACTGAAGCTTATCCCCTGCTATGTGCCCAGTAGTGCATCCATCTTGTTAAAAACATGTGGTTATCCCCCACCCTCACTGTGTGTTTTTGGGCTTGTGATGAGTATGTGTCTATCATGTGATGGGACATGCCATCCAGCTCAGCAAAGAGGTGCTGATAAGCACCCACCCTTCCAGGGCCCAGGGAGATGATGACTGTGTGGAGCAGCCAGAGTCAGATGAATGACTGGTGGACTAGAGCCACCCCCTGATCACCAGGTTGGAAATGCCTGGTTTAGAGCAGAAAGTTGCAAACAGAGAATATTTTTGTTTTTTTCTAACCTTTTCTTCTCATTTCCTCCTTGTTAATGACAAGGATGTACTCAAAGACACCTCCCATAGTGCCAGACGTTATGAAATGGGTGCCATAGTCGTTGATAAATTTGGCATACATGCCATAGTTGTAGGTGTCAGGAAGCTCCTGCAGGGAGAGCAGCACATCTTCATCCAAAACAATATTGTCCCTTCTCATCTTGAAACGGGCTGTCTGCACCTTCGTCACACCTCTAACGAATCCAACCTCCTGCAGGTAAAGAAAAGAGGAGCTGCCACTCAACATTCATTTAAAAAACAAATTTAAAAACATTCTCTTCTAGATTGGCCATTGCCCTGGACAAGGCTCCAGTACAACCAGAACAGCTATTTAAATGATTCCTCCAGTACAACCAGAACAGCTATTTAAATGATTCCTCCAGTACAACCAGAACAGCTATTTAAATGATTCCTCCAAAAATTGATCATCATTTAGCTGCAAATATCATGTGAGTCTAGACAAGAGCACAGTAAATACTATAATGGTGCTCATTTCCAATGGCTTTTAAGGGCATTTCATCTCAGAACACCAAAGTAATTCTTCTTTATTGTTTTCTGTCAGCAGCCACAATAGAAGTAGAGAGAGGGCATGGTAAATGTGGGAAATACTGGTATTCCTGTTATTAGATTGGAAAGAGGTCATCACAGCCAGTCCATGATGTAAACCCACTGTGAGAAATACACCCTATTATCAGGTATTCTTTTTTTTTTTTCACCACAGTATTTTAACCTCTCATAAAAAGTAGCATATTTCCCCATCATAAGGCAGCTTGTATTAATTTGAACAAGATATATTTGCTACCAGAGATCATTCCCTGAGGACAACGGTTTTGATCAACATCTTGATCTTTCCTCCTCCCTCATCATCATTTTAAGCATTTTTTTATTTATGTGCTTAATGTAGCCATGAAACAGGATGGGGTGAGGTGACATGTGTTGTGGTACTTCGTAATTCAATTTTATTCCCACTCCCTGTTTGCTACAACGTAATAAGAACAACAAACAGGATTACTAATGATCATACACTTGCAGTTACATGAACAAATTAACGTACAATTACTGTGTGTTAAAAAAAAATGCAATTGAGAGAATAAACTGACGTAAGTTACAGCCCGACCATGCGATGCACAGATGACAAAACTGGAGCATAGGCATCACTAATGTATTATTTTTTTTTACCTTTGTAGTGTATTGTGTGAAGTTCTTCAGGGATCCTTTGCCGTTTGATAAAGTGAAGCCCAGGTCTAGCTGGGAAACTGATTCTCCAAGCCCGATTCTAATGGTAAAGCCTTTTGTTCTGGATTTATCCCTTTTAAGGGCATCAAGCAGATCCTTTGAATCATCATAAAACTCAAAAGCAAATCCAGAATCAGCATGAGCCTGAAGTGAAAGGAGCAGAAGTTAATTTTTTGGGTACTTCCTTTCCTTTTTAATCTCTGTTACTTTTAAGGATCTGATGGTGCCTCTGTTGAAGCCCGTGATGTTCCTAACAGCCCTGCCACCAAATTAAGTGAATGTAGAATAAAGAACTTAGTCCCATGCCATTTCATTTGGAAATATGTGAGAAATGCAGATAAAGCCATGTATTTTGCTTCATCCATCTCCAGGCAGGGGAAAGGTTTGTGTTTAGCCACTTAAAACAGCACCATTACAGGCAGAGCTGTAATTAAGCTAGCTTGATGCTTCCCATTATAAACCTCTCCTTCCAGTTCTGCCAAATTCTAGCCATTTGGAATGATTTTTTTTTTTCTCTTCAACCTGCTTCTGAATGAATTTATTTAGGAAAAAAATTCAGCAGTGGTGATCCAGCCACTTAGGATGGCAACACTAGAAAACAAACGTTGTTTTGCCTGTGCTTTAGAGAAGTGACCTTTTCCTTGACAGCTCTGCTTTGCCAGGGTGTGGAATTGAGCAGCTTTGCTGATTCTGGGCTCTATAAAAAGCCAACTAAATTACCAACACTGAAAAAACCATCTCACATTGTTGTCAGTGAGTTCCTATACCCTGGTGGGTAGAAGCTCCTAAGTCAAGATGCATATGGGGTGTGCTCAAGCGTCCCTCAGTGCCTGACCATGGTGCAGGTGTCCTTCCACTGCTAGCAGCAAACAAAGGGGAGAAGAAAATGTGGCTTGTGTGGTGGATCTGTCTGGTTTCAAACTGGGAACTAAGAGGCATGGGGGAGTCTGCCTGCTGAGGGGGACATGAAAGCCACTAGCATTGAGCTGTGGCTGTAATATTGCCCCGGAATAATGTGTTTCATTCATTCATGTCAAAAAGCGTGATAAAGTTTTTTACAGTGTGACCAGGGCACCCATTTACCACATGGGACATCCAGGTTGATAGTTCAGTCTCCAATATCAGATGTGATGCCCCAGAGTATAGATGTTGTGATACATGGTGCTGGCTATCAGGATCTCCGTCTCACTCAGAACTGGGATTTATGTCACTTGTTGCCATGCCATAGACTTAAAACACTTTCCAAGGTTGAACTGGTAGCATTGTTCCTGTTTTACACGCAACCAACTTCATCCCTAGAGATGCAAGTGGCTTGTGCAAGCTCTACAGCTCATTAATAGCTGAATTTAGAGAAAATCTATTTCTCTTGGCTCTGACTAGGCCGGAGTAAGCAGTGGGGATGCCTGGGTGATAAAGCACGTTAGTTCCTTCATGTGCCATAAAACAGCATTTATATCATTGATTGCCTGTTGTCTTGGGGACAGCTGGAGAAAGGTAACTTAAAAGATGACCTATAGTGAATGACAAAATGTACAGGCTATCTTTGTAGGAAGTTTGGCTTTTATCTGGGAAATCATTGCTGAATTTGGCTTACTAGGAATTGGTATATGTGAAAGTTGTAAGGTTTGCGGAAATACTTCTCGTCGTCTCCGTAGTACAGATGTTCACACACAGCATCGTACTTCAGCTCCCGCCACTCTCCGTTGTACACGTACTCACAGTGGCCTCCAAAAAAATTAGGATCATATACATACTGGCTCTCTTCCTGTGTTAGGATATTGTATCTTGGAAAGAAATAGCATTCAGAAAGTTATCCATAGCTCCTGTTTTATTTCCCCAACAGTCTCTGTCGCTGTTTCTGTTCTCCTAACATAACAAGTTATCCATCTGTCTCTGACTTTGAATTTGGATAGCACCTAAAATATAAGGTTTGAGCCTGTTCTCCTTGCTGTCTCCTTCCCAAAGCTAACAGGAGACAAAGAGCCATTTTATTATCAAGACATTGGTTTGGACTCATATGCTAGAGGTGAAAGAAATCAGTTAAATTGTCCAGTCTATCCTGGTGAGTAGTTGTGAAAGTCCCAAAGTCCTGGAATTCCTCCAGATCCCCCATGAGTCTCTTGCAACCTAATGCATCTCACTGTCACAAAGTGTTTTCTGGCATGCCCTCTAATTATTTTCTATCTTTCTTTCCTTTTAATAATAGTCTCCTTTCTCAAGGGAGTTAGCACCCTCCCTAGACTTGCAGTCTGCTTGTGCTTTGCCAAATGTCTTGCTTATTATTTCCTTACGCCTCTCTCTTCCTGCTCTCCAGCCATCACAGCTGCTGCCCTCTGAAATCTCGCCTATTACTTAATATTCCCTGTAATTCCATGGCCCCAAATGAAAGCATTATTCAAAGTAGACAGCAGCATTACTCCTCACAACAGGGAATCATCTTTAAGACTAAGGTAGTAAATGCTGTTACTTTAGTGTGTTCTGTGGTAGAAACACATCAGAGAGAAGTATTGAATGAGGTGCTCTGTGAAAATTAATGTATGTCTTGGAAAAACTGCTGGTGGACTCTCCAGGCCCTGGGCCAGGGAGACATTTATCTCATGGACTCCAGAGAGTGTTGGATTGAGGTGATGGCTGGCTGCATTCTCATACTGGAGCCTGTGTTCTCCAAGTGAAACTAAGCAGTATCTTGGTTAAAACACAAGATTTAAAACATAAATGTCACAACAGGCAATTTGCCTTTAAACTCATTCTGGGTTCCTCTTTTCCATGTATTACCTAACCAGAATTTGAAACTGAATACATTGAAACTTTTTCACTGATAGACGTATTTACTCTGCACATATTTGTGCTGAGCTCAGGCTCTCTCCCTTGACTCTGTGCTCTGAAGTCCTAAATCTTGAAGTTAAATCTTCTCCTTAAGGATGGAAGCTACCAGGATGCTGCATTTCTAAAGTCTACTGTTTCCTTTAATATATTGTTTTTATCAACTGGAAAAAATTGTAAGATAACTGGACTAGGAGGACTGAGATATATTTTTTTACATGACTATAGAATCATAGAATGTATTGGGTAGGAAGGGACCTTCAAAGCCCATCTAGTCCAAGCCCCCTGCAGTGAGCAGGGACATCTTCATTAGAGCAGGTTGTTCAGGGCCCCATCAAGCCTGACCTTGAATATCTCCAGGGACGGAGCCTCTGCTACCTCTCTGGGCAACCTGTTCCAATGATCCACCACCCTCATATTGAAAAACTTTTTCCCAATATCCAACCTAAATCTCCCCTTTTCTAGTTTAAAACCATTACCCCTCATCCCATTGCTACCTGCCCTCGTGAACAGTTCTTATAGGCACCTTTCAGGTACTGGCAGGCTGCTATAAGGTCCCTCCAGAGCCTTCTCTTCTCCAGGCTGAACAACTCTAACTTTCTCAGCCTGTCCTCATAGGAGGATATAACAATAGTTCTCTTTGGGGTTTGTACAGCACCCTATCAATTCATGGAGAACTGCTGTGACTAAGGAAGACCAATATTAAAGAAACTTAATCCTGTTTTGATTGTGAGAGTAGCAGCTATTGATTAATTACTTACCCTTGAGCTGCTTTTTCAGACCCTGGGATTGGAAACAGATGCTCACAAGGGCTTTCAATTTCTTCACCCTTACAGTTATCCTCATCAGACCCATCTCTGCAGTCTGGCTCTCCATTGCACACAAGATGCTGTTTAATACAACGACCTAAAGGACAAGGGTACAGGCAATCACTTATCCACCCTTCAGTAAACCTGTTTTGGCAGCTTGCACTGGCTGTGGCTTTTTCCACCCATCTCTCAGAGCCACAAGAAGTCACTCTGTGTGTTAAACACAGCGCTTTTCCATTGGGAGCTTGTTTTTCCCAGCTCCTTGGAGGGAGGTTTTCCCTTGTAACTCCCTTGGAGTCCAAGCCAGCTGCTCCCTTGGGCTCCTATGGGCTGGGAATCAAGTAGAGGTCAACTCACTGGCCTGATTTTATTACCTACAATCATTCTTTTGGCAGGGAGCTAGAGGAAGCAGTAGCTTCTCCACTTGGCTTAGGGAAGTCAGCAATGGCAGGAGGTATTTGGGATTGCAATAACTGTAGCTCAAGAACGGATGCTTGCAGGAGAGGCAATTCAAAAGTGCTTTTGCTTCTGGGAATGAGGAGAAAGCCTTGACATAATATTTGTGGCAGGAATCAAAACACTTGCCTCAACAGAGCAATGATGACCTGCTCCAGCTGATGAACTGGTCATAGAGCTGGCACACATTTCTAAATTTCAGTAGGATTTTCATGAAATGCTTGAGAAGGGAGTTTGAACCATTAATAAAAACTAAAATCTGTCAAGGCTAGTCAAACTTTCAGAGATCAGCCACATTATATCCCAATCCTCAGAGCTGGGGATGGCTAAAAATAAATAAATCACCCCAACAGATTGCTAGTTGGATTCATGATTGAACTATGGCTTTTGCAGGGGGAGAAAGTGGTGTGTTGTGGGAGCGGTGGTGCCCATGGAGGGCAGTGTGAGCATGTAGCACAGCAGTTGGAGCAGGATATTTCTGCTTTCTTTATTCCACTGAAAAAAATTAACCTTTTCCATGTCACACAGGCTTCTTTTCTATGCAAATCTAAGCATGACATGAATGGATTCCTGTAAAAGTGGAGGAAAAAAAACCAAAGATGGGGAAATTTCCTGCATTCTCTTGCACTGGTTCACAATCCTGCTGGGCTGAATGCATTTTGGTAAATGGCAGGGGACTGAAATCAGCCCAGGTCTGTCCAGCGAGGACCCAGACTTCCTTGGCAGGAGTTTTTGCCCAGTTCACTCACCTGTTTCCTCGCACTGAAAGTCCTTCCCGCAGCTGGGGTGCCCAGTGCATGTCGTCTCGGCACGGCAAGCTTGCTCATCCCAGAGGTGCCCAGCACATGGTTGCCCCGAGAACCCCGCCGGCTGCACCAGCCTCCGGTACCGGTGCTGAACCATGCAAGAGAGAAAAACACCACCCACACCTAAGTTGTGTCACCCAGAGACATCACCTCCACAGGTTATAAAGCAATTAAAGCTATCACTTTTATCTATATTGTTATATTTCTGTGTAGTCCGCAGACTTTGCACATGATAAATGGAGAAGGAGAGGCAGCCGAGAGGTGGAAGCTCAGGAGATTTGCTTGGAATTCATACAAATTAATTTGGGGAGGGCTGGAATGACTGTTTTTAAAAAATCTCTTCCCTGGTTTATACCTTGGAAATAATATGGAATGTTTCCAGTTACACATGCTTCGTCCTAGAATATACCAGGCTCAGATGGACACAGACACTAATTACAACACTGATCCTGCAACATTTCTGATGGATTATTAATGAGAATTGCTGCTCTTTAAACTAGGAAGAAAAAAAAAAAAGAGAGAAGAGACAGCTCATTTGCTGATTATAAGCACAGGAATAAAAAATGCAGGGTTGTAAACTCAGTAGAAAGCAGAATTATGTCAAATATTTGGAAATAAATTCTTGAATTGTGAAGACATATGTGAAATGATACAAAAAATTGAGAACAGGAGCTGATGAATGATGGCTGCTTTTAATTTCTTTTCACTGGAATATTTGCATTAAGAATCAGGGGATACTTCATTAAATCTGAGATAAAAAAGGAAGCAAGTCTTGGGCAAATATTGTGGCCTGATTCTTCTGCCATTTGCCTTGATTTTTCATTTTGCTGTTCTCTTGCCTTAAATGAATTTATTCCCCTGTTTACACCAGAGTAAGTAAGAGCCTCTCTAGTAGAGGAGCATCTCCATCATATTTGGATGAATTTACTGGATGCTTCAGGATGATGAATATGTATCATATATATAATTAATGTGTGTACATCCTCGTCACAGACACATCTGAAGATAAATGAATACATTACGGTGGAGTCTTACTTTTTTCCCTTGGCAAGGAAAGCAATCAGTCCATTCTGACCACTGGCTCAGCTGACAGTTGACGGGAGCTGGAGAATTAACATCTCTGCTGCTTCTTCTAAGGAGGGGAAGAAATAACGGTTTAAGGTCTTTGAAGTTGTCTTTTTAAAGAAGGCTGGAGGCTAGCAGGGAGAAAATGATCTGTGTGTGTGTTTTTCCATCAGGAACGTATTTTGTGGGAAATGGGAAGCATCCCTTAGTGAGGAAGCTGTACTAGTTGAGATGCTCTGTCTAAGGATTCACCATCAGAATTGCTCAGGTGCAGGACCTGAGGATTTTTGTCTTGGGGTTTCCTGCTCTCCCGAGAGATCCTGGCCCTTTCCAATAGGTAGATTGCAATAAAGTATAAGTACATCAT